GAGTAACTGGAGAAAAGGTTGAAGTTGTTAAGGATTTTGTTTTGCTTGAATCCACAATCAATGCACTGGAAGCAACAGTAAAGAGATCAAAAGACCTATTAAATTAGTCAAATCTGTTGCACCAAGTATTGAAAAGGATGTTACTTTGAGGACAAAGGTGCACTTAACCTAAGCCATGATAACGTCCATTGCCTCACATGCATGTGAAAGTTGGACACTGAATAAGGAAGACTATAGAAGAATTGATGTATTTGAACTGTGGTGCTGGAGAAAAATATTCAAAGTACCATGAACTGCTCAAAGAGAAAACTGTTCTCTCTTGTAGGGCCAGGGTGCTCCTTGGGGGCAAGGATGACAAGACTTCATCTTACATGCTTTGGACATGTTGTCAGGAGAGACCAGTCCCTGGAGAAGGACACCATGCTTGGTAGAGGAGCAGTGTGAGGGAGGAAGGCCCTCAACGAGATGGACTGACACCGTAGCTGTGAAAATGGGCTCAGGCATAAGAACCATTGTGAGTATGGCAAAGGACCGTGCAGTGTTGCATTCTATTATGCATAGGGTCACTATGGGTAGTAGCCAACTTGACGGCACCTAACATCTGCCAAATGGACTTTGGACAAAGGGGTGCATTTCTTTCACACACTCTGGGTTCGTCAAATACGGGAGATAGGACATATGCCTTCGAGCCCTTGGAAGAGTGATTCGGCACTTTGGAAAGTTCAGGGGATGATGCCCTGCCCAGGACTTCTACTCAGTTCTTGGTCAGACTTATCTATATCCAGACATGTATATGTCTATAAGAGCTTTATCTCATTTCTTCTGAGTTTTTGCTAAATGCCACCAATATCAGAAAGACTTTCCTTCCAATTCCTATATGATACTCCTGTCACTCTGCCAATGTCTTACTCACTGCCAGTAGTGCTTGGCATAATGGGTTGTATTGCACTGCTAAGCACAAGGTCCCCACAAATAGCTGTGAGGAAAAGACAAGGCACTTTGCTCCCCCCAAAACTTAGTCTTGGAAACCCTCAGGGGCAGTTCTACTCTGCCCAAAAGGTCATTTTAAGTCACCCAAAAATGTCACTGTAAGTCAAAACCCACTTGCCAGCAGAGAATCTGGCTTTCAGTTATAGCGTTTAGCACTTGTCACATAGAGGTGAGCTCCATATGCTTAAGAGCCATTCTGTTTAGCTGATTCCCATTGCTTTGAACCATGCCTAGTACATACCATTCAAATCTGTAACTGAATAAATGAAGGGCCCAGTTCACCTGTAGAGTTGTCAAAACACCCATAGCTATTTCCTGCTGGTCCTATCATACTCTTCCCAAAATCAGGTCCTGCTGATACATAGGGTCCTTTCTGATTCTCCCAATTTTGGTCCCTGGGCTGAAAGAGTCCTAGGGTAAGGAAAGGCAGGTTCGGCTAGGCTAACCAGGTAGATAGGGGTTAAAGACTGCCTTATCCCTCAAGCCACCTTAGCCAGTGCAGCCAGACTCTTTCAAATAATTGGCAAGAGGGTAAGGATAGGAAGCCCTCCTTGAAAATAGCACCAGATTGTTAACAAACCCAGGGACAAGGGAATAACAAGTGATCCAAATCGGTGTTGAGGAGGGTGTAGGAGGCCTGGTAGGGCATGATCAAAGGTAATTAATGTAACCGAGAGGAATTACTGAAACCCAAATGAAGGCTGAGCATGATCGTGGGACAAGAGGAAAGTAAAAGGAAATAAAGAACTAGGAGGCAA